GTTTAGTGAAACGTCGTTGTGCCTGTTCTAGGATATGGATATCACCAGCAAAGTAAGGATTCCACACTGGGGCGGCATAATCAAAAATTGGTCTGACATACGATTTATAGATGCGTTCTAGCAAAGCAGGATAAATATTTTTAAAACTGATAGCAACTAAGTACCGCAGCGAGTTAACCTTTTTAACCACAGCACCAATGTGGGATGCCCATTTGAGGTCACTTGATATAATAACACCTAGATCTCTTTGTTTTACAGATTGCAGTTCAATTCCGTTAAGATAATATGATTTATGTGGATTGTTTGACCCAATATGTAATACAGTGCATTTAGCTTCATTTGTGGATAGTAACCACTTGTCACACCAATCTTCCACAAGTTTGAGATCATTAGAAAGAGCATCAGGATTCTCGAGAGGATTTGAAAATATCTTTGTATCGTCAGCAAACAACGCGGATGGACAGTTAAACAAGGAGGCAAGGTCACTAACATAGATGTTAAATAAGATGGGTCCAAGCACGGACCCTTGTGGAACACCGCTAAGAACCGGTGTAGCTTGTGAATGTTCAGTGAGAATCTTAACTGTAAAGGTACGATTTTGAAGAAATTCCGCTATCCACCTCAGTAAGTCACCGCGAACACCATAATGGTCCTGTGGTGTAGGTAGTTGCATAGGTGTGGGCGCACCAGTGCAGAGCATGCGCCACAGCAGAAAGAGCAATGATGGCCGTCGAATAGAGCGTTAAGTTAGAGAAGTTGTGTTTCTTTATTTGTATATAATCGCGGGTATTAAATAAGGCAAGGAAACTATGGAGTTTTATTTAAGAAACACTACAGTGGCGACGAGGAAAATTATGGACAGATCGGCGTAAGTTAAAGAGAGAGTGAAAAAGCGGTGGCCACGTGGCAGTTAAGCGTTGGAAGAAAAAAAACAAGATGGGCGGCGAAGATACGAAATCAAGTGAGGCAAGATTTACGAATGTGGGTCATCTGAGGCAGTTTACACTCAATTCAGACTGGAAGATTTTTTATACTCAATTGACGCAATATTTTGTGGTGAACAACATCACAGACGACAGAATTCAACAAGCTCTACTGATCAATTGTTGCACCGAAGAATCATACAAGTTGCTGGAGAATCTATGTGTTCCAGAAGATCCAACGAAGAAAACATTCAGGGAGTTAATTACACTGTTTGACAAGCATTTTGTCCCCCCCAAGTTACATTTCCCAGAGAGGTATAAGTTTTATCATGCAGTGCGAGGGCGAGACGAAGAGATAGTCGAGTGGGCGTCCCGAATCCGACATTTGGCGTCGAAGTGCAAGTTCGGGGCGGAACTACAAGTGGTACTGAGAGATCGCTTTATCATGGGGCTTGGCGAAGGAGTTATTTTAGATTGCTTATTGGAGGAAGATGTGAGTAACCTCACGTTGCAGCAAAGTGTCGATATTGCGGCTAGTAAGGAGGCGTCGAGGCACCGTTATGTATTGGACTCAGAAAGGTCCCGGAAGAAGGAAGAGGCGGAAATGTTCCAGTTGTCTCATCAAAAAAGTTGGAGAGAGTCACAAGGCCAGGGAAGAGAGTCAAAAAGTTTAAGAAGAGGCAACGGTCGTGTGACAGGAAAGGCGGAATTTGGGGCTACTTCCCAGCTAGCAGCCAAGTCAGGATCGCAGTTATGGTGTAAGGTTTGCGGTAAAAAGGGACACCATGTCAGTAAGTGTCGTTATCAGAATTACATATGTCATATTTGTGGAATTCGAGGTCATTTAGCAGCGGTTTGCTCAAGTTCAAAGAAAGGTGGCAGGTCAAGTCATAATTTTTTGTCGACGGAGGCAGAAGAAACCATGTTCAGGGTGCAGACGAACGAGGTCAGGTACGCGCCAATTCAGGTAGAAGTCGAAGTTGGTGAGGACAAGTTAAGGTTTGAATTTGACAGTGGTGCATCTGTGTCGGTAATTTCTGAAAAGTTTTGGAGTGAACATTTTTGTAATTTAGCATTAAGGTCAGACGGTAAATGGTTGTCCAATTATAATGGACAGAAAATTGTACCATTAGGTTATGTCGAAGTAGAAATTAAGTTTAAAGATTTGCGCCATAAGTTGAAGTTGTATGTCATTAGAAACGGAGGTCCACCTTTACTAGGTCGAGATTTTTATTACAAATTTAATCTGGAATTTTTAAATAAAATTGAGTCCGCAAATAATAATAATGGGAGCGTCGCGGAATTGTTAGGGCAATTTCCGACAGTTTTTTCAGATCAGTTAGGGTTGTTCAATAGGAGCACCATACGGTTAAATATTTCAGAAAAGGCACAGCCTAAATTTTATAAACCTAGGCCGTTACCGTTTGCAATTAAAGACAAGGTGGAGCAAGAACTGGAGCGGTTAGTTAAGTTGGGAATTTTACAACCGGTTAATTTTAGTCATTGGGGAACGCCTATCGTTCCGATCATTAAAAAAGATGGCACCGTACGGATATGTGCTGATTATAAAATCACAGCAAATTTAGCGGTAGAGGCGGATTTGTTTCCTTTACCTAGGATTGAGGAAATTTTTGCAAAATTGAAAGGAGAAACCTTCACGAAGTTAGATCTTTCAAGAGCTTATCAGCAAATAGGGTTAGATGAACAGTCAAGAGAAATTACGACAATTTCAACGCATAAGGGGTTATTTCAGTACACGCGCTTACCGTTCGGGCTAGCATGTGCACCATCTAAGTTTCAAAGAATAATGGAAACGATTTTACAAGGGTTAGATGGGGTGTGTTGTTTTCTCGATGATATTTTGATTACGGGAGAGAATTTTAGCCAGCATGTAGAGCGAGTGCACGCGGTGTTGACTAGATTACAACATTGCGGGTTAACCATTGAATTTTCGAAATGTGCATTTTTCCAAGATAGGGTAACGTATTTAGGATACGTGATTGACAAGACTGGGTTACATCCTTGTGAGGATAAGGTGAGAGATGTCAAGAACACTCCACGACCGCAGAATGTTAAGCAAGTGAAAGCTTTTTTAGGGTTGGTAAATTATTACAATAAATTTATACCTAACAATGCGAGTCTGTTGCACCCATTATATGAATTGCTCAAGAAGGATTCACAGTTTGTGTGGTCGGAGCATTGCGAACGGGCTTTCGTGCAAGTAAAAGAAATATTGACATCAGATCGAGTGTTAGCGCATTATGATGCGACATTGCCAATAGTTTTAACGACTGATGCATCAGAGCATGGGGTTGCAGCTATTATTTCGCATGTAGTAAATAATGTCGAATATCCAATAGCGTTCGCTTCTCGAACGTTATCGCACGCGCAAAGGAAATATAGTCAGTTAGAAAAGGAGGCTTTAGCAATTATATTCGGGGTTACGAAGTTTCATCAATATCTTTTTGGTCATAAGTTTATTTTACAGACAGATCATAAGCCTTTGGTTACAATTTTTGGCCCTAAACGAGGCTTACCAGTGTTAGCGGCGAATCGTTTACAGCGTTGGGCGTTAATATTAGCGAATTATGAGTACGATATTAGGTTTATCAAGTCAATGGATAATAATGCCGATGCGTTGTCGCGGTTACCAGTAGCAGACGAGTTTACGGAACCAGCTGCTGACTATACTTATTTTAATTATATTTTTTCTAACTCAGACCTACCTATCGACAGTGCTTGTATCGCGTCGGAAACTGTGAAGGACAAGGCATTAAGTAAGGTGTTGAAATATATTCAAAAAGGGTGGCCGAAACGTATAACCAAGGAGTTAAAGGGGTACGAACAGTACAAGAATAATCTCACCGTAGAAGGGAATTGTATTTTGTTTGGTTATAGAGTCGTGGTTCCAAAAGCGTTGAGACATAATATTCTTCAAGAACTACATAGATCCCATATGGGAATTGTGAAAACTAAAAGTTTAGCACGTTCGTACGTGTGGTGGCCTAATATGAGCACGCAAATAGAAAATTTTATTGCAAATTGTCCAAATTGTTTAAAGTTGCGGGAGGCTCCCGGTTTAAGTAAACTAATGCCATGGTCAATTCCAGATTCAGTTTGGGAACGTATACATATAGATTTTTTAGGACCGATTTTCAATAAACAAATTTTAATTGTGGTGGATGCGTACAGTAAATGGACAGAAGCGTTTGTTATGACAAACATCTCAACTCAAGCAACCATTAATGTTTTGCGAAGTTTGTTTGCGAGGTTTGGGTTTCCCAAAACCATTGTGTCGGATAATGGCAGAGCTTTTACATCGGAAGAATTTGAAAATTTTTTGCGAGTTAATGGTATCCGATTTAAAAGATCAGCTCCATATCACCCCGCTACGAATGGTCAAGCGGAGAATTCTGTTAAAACGGTCAAGAGGGCGTTATACAAATGTTTAAAAGATGACAATCTTGCAAATTTTAATTTAGCGTTAAACAAATTCCTTTTGGATTATAGAAATACGGTTCATTGTATGACTGGTCAATCACCAGCAATGTTAATGTTAGGTAGGAATCTAAGATGTAGACTAGATTTGTTACGACCCGACACCAGGGCCGTAGATGTTTGTAAGGCAGGCTTGCAGCAAACGTGGCGTAAAAAGCAAGCTCAGGCAGTTAAACATTATAAAGGTAAGCGATCCCAACAATTTCATGTAAATGATACTGTCCTAGCACGTGATTATCGCCACGCCAAGCCAGCTTGGTGTGCAGGCAGCATTGTCAAGGTGTTAGGGCCGCGCACCTATTTAGTAGAAATAACGGAAGGTTATGTGTGGAAACGACATATAAATCAGCTGTTAGTCAATAGGGCACTACGGAATGTACAAGATAAGAACGTAGATATTGAGGATAAGAACTATGTAGAGGATAGGAAAATTCTGTTAGATTGTAAGATTGATCAGGACGTGCAGGATAATCAAACAGAGTTGTCAAAAGAAAGCTCTTTAGTCACAAAGCTGAGACGGCGTAGTCAATTGAAACCGCCAGACCGTTTCCGATACTAAGGAGATTTCTTATATTTTTTTTAAGGGGAGAGTAGTGTGGTGTAGGTAGTTGCATAGGTGTGGGCGCACCAGTGCAGAGCATGCGCCACAGCAGAAAGAGCAATGATGGCCGTCGAATAGAGCGTTAAGTTAGAGAAGTTGTGTTTCTTTATTTGTATATAATCGCGGGTATTAAATAAGGCAAGGAAACTATGGAGTTTTACTTAAGAAACACTACAGGTCCAGTTTTAGTAGTAATCTGCGAATAGGAACACGGTCGAATGATAGATAGATAGAATAGATGACACTATAGTTCCTTAGGTAGGTATACAAATTTATGTTTTTTCGCAATTGCATAACATTTTACTTTCACTTCTTCATAAAGATTTTTTACGCGTTCTTCTTGCTCGACTTCCATGTCATATAAGTCATATCTTGTTTTTTCGCAAAATATTTTAATCGATTTATAGTGCAACTTCTGTTTGTCAAAGTTATACAAGAAACGTATTAAATACTGAATCAAGTATTGTTTAATTCTAACAAATTTTGTGAACTTTTTATCTGTTTCCTGATTTTCTACTGCAGCTAGTAAAGAGTTTTTGATTTCAAACTCACTCTTGTCACCTCTAGTATAATTCACTTTCACTTCTTTAACCATATTTGACAATCTTTCCTCCGCTTTAGCTGTTAGTATCCCGTTGGAATCAATGTTCAATGTAAAAGTGACACGTAGTTGCTCGGGAGGTGCCGGTAATAAGCCATCAATGGATAATTTTCCCAAGTAACGATTTTTCCTTACATCTGTGCGCTCACCTTCATATATTCCAGTAGAAAATGAGGTATGACTTTCGTCCCTGTTTATAAATATTTGAGATCCTTTAGCCGGTATCTTCGTATTTCTGCGAATTATAACAAGCATTTCACGTCCGAGCCTACCAAAACCTAAAGAGAGAGGAACAACATCAACCATCTCCAGTAGTTCAATATCTTGTTTTTTACTAGTTGATAACATAGCAGCTTGCAAAGCTGCTCCTTCAGCTACACATTCGTCAGGATGTATCGAATTATTTAACTGTTTACCTCCAAAATAATCAGAAATCATTTTTTGTATTTTGGGTATTCGGGTGGAACCACCACACAAGATTACCTCTTGAATCGATTGCTTGGAAATTTTTGATTCAACTAAACAGTTATGTAAAATGTCAATAGTTTTTTTGAATAACTTGCTGGCTTTCTCTTCAAAGACAGACCTTGTCAGTGTAATAATAATTCTAGGATGTTTGGGTACCATTCCGTTTATGGTTATCAATGCTTTATTAGCCGATGACAGATCTTTCTTCGCTTCTTCGCACTTATTACGTAATCTTCTTTTAGCACCTGGATCTATTTTTGCATTGTAACGGTAATCTTTGCGTAACACCTCTACAATATAGTTTAAAATGCAATTATCCAAATCGTGACCTCCTAGTTGACAGTCCCCATCCACGCATAGTACTTCCACGTTATCAGCTTTTTTCTGAAGAATGGCAACATCGAAAGTTCCGCCTCCCAAATCATAAACTAATGAAATATGGTTTTCGGTTATATCATTATCGAAGTAGTAAGCTAAAGCCGCTGCTGTTGGTTCATTTAGAAGCTTGAGCACAGTAAATCCGGCATCTTTAGCTGCTGCTAAAGTGACTTCTCGTTGTGTGACGTTGAAATAAGCTGGAACGGTTATGACAACTTTGTTTACAATCTGATTCAGCTTCGCTTCAGCATATTTTTTTAATTCTTGGAGGATTATTGTACACAATTGTTGTGGTGTTTTCTGGATTGTTGTATTATTCTGCTTAACATAAATCACTGGGAAGTTAGAGATCCCTGAAGTTATGACAAAGGGAAAGTACTCGAGAGTTTTTTGAATGTATGTATCATCAAACTGTCTGCCTATAAGTCGCTTCATCTCTGCAAATATCACGTGCATTAGTAATAATTAACAATTATTCTAATATCTAACACGCTTACTGTAAATACCATTTTCGGGTTTCTGCAGTGACATTGTTTTTGCATATTCACCAATGACAGTACCACCTTCAGGCGGAAAGTAGATGAAAGATGGTGTAACCCTTGCTCCTCTATCATTTTCTAGAATTCGTATTCTGCCTTTTGCATAAACAGAAATACACGAAGTTGTGGTACCCAGATCAATACCGATCACAATATCATCCATTCTAGAAATCTATAACCTTATTTTATACATAATTTGTTTATTTTGATAAGTATACATGTAATACTGCTGGGAGTAAAAGTTTATGCCAACATAGAAAACTTACAACTGGTTACATTTTTATGGTTACGAAATTAATATTAATTTATTTAGTGTGATATCTTGAATAACGCTTATTTGATAAGCTGATAAGTAGTGTAAATAAATCAGATGAGTTGATTATTTACAAAATTTATCGGCCGATTAGCACAAGTTAGTTAAGTGGCAAATCATCTTAATTCATGCTCTCAAATACCGAGTATTCCGTGTTGTATGATGTTTGTTATCCGCTCCACTTTGCAGCGTAAAAAATCCGTAGCCAATGCATTTTATATCGGAGAATTCGCGGTAGTGTTGTCACTTATCAAAAGTTTTTGTAGTTCCGCTTCTATTGGTATTAAAATGTCATTTTTGTATACAAAATTTTATAGTGAATTAAATTAATTCCTGAATTTTCAAATTTTTAAATTACGTTTTTTGGTTTTTATCACGTCATATTTCAAAAACTATTCAAAATGTTGTCTTATTTTTTGAACTATAATATCACCAAACACGAAGACTGATTCTAACAATACAAATTTTCCTATACTAGTGTTCTTAAATTTCTACCAAAAAATGTTTTTTTTGTTATTTACACAAAAGGTTTATTTAAATTTTCAACATCGGAGTTTTGTATTATTTAAACAGCGAGAAACTAGTAGATTATTATGGTGCGAAGTAATTTTTGTAATAAAGAGGTATTTGAAAACGATCTTTGTTTTTGAGATAAAAAATTTTAAACACGTGCGATGTCTGGGATACGGCATATTAACTCAGTGTGTCGCATCTACACATTCATCACAAAGACAATTTTAAACCAAGTATACTCTACAAATTTCCCACTAATCGACTTAAAAAAATACTCGCGTGATAAAAATATCAACACATCTTTTGTGCAAGTAACAAAGAAATATTTTTTGGAAGAAATATAAAAACACCATTACAGTAACAGTTACATTACATGATCGTTTTCCGGGTTGGAACCGTGTTAATTGAGATTTTGGGCTCAAGGTTTCGCACACTTTCGTAAGTGGTATCTTCAGGAGCAGGGTTGAGAAATTAGGAATAAAGCAAAAGAGAACAGTAACTCAGTATGTCAACAATACCAGAGCTGAAAATCTTCTGGCAGTAAAAATGTGGTTGTGACCGTTTTATAGACACGAGAGAGAGAGAACTATGGAGAAAAAAAAAAGAACGAGAGAGAGAACTAAGAAGGAAAAAGGAGAGCGAGAGAGAGAATTAGGGAAAAAAAAGAACGAGAGAGAGAAAAGAAAAAATGGGGAGAGTATCCGGTCTGCTTGCAGCTGACTTTTAGTGGTACAGTGAAAGCAAAAACACAACCTCAAATTGCTTCGTTTTCATGTGTCACAGAGTTGACAGTCAAGTCGATCGATCACGTGTGTAATCTTCATCTCATTGGTTATTTTCAACTTGGCGCTCCGTAACGTCTGCCACAGCATGTGCGATTTTGTCTCACTCTTTTCCATTGCAGTTCTAATAGTGTTTACTCACTTTACTTACAATATGAGGGTCTAGCGTTGGTCTAAACCTCACCTTGCAATACTCGGTAGTCGGTACCCCAAGTAACTCAGACGCTAATTAATACACAAACACTGATTGGTGGGTGATTGTCAAACAATAATTCCAGTTTTCTATTCTTTAATCTCTACAAGTCACACATCAGTGTTTAAAACAAAAACTGTTTATGGATTTTTTTTTAATGTGTATTTTCTATTAGTGGGGGTACTTCAAAATGCATAGTATACGCATATTTATCTGTCCTAATCTAACCTAATACTATCAAATGAGCCAAGTGAAGCTCGGTAAACCAGATATTATTAGACTTTAAAAAACATAAATATCTGTAATCAAATTAATAACACCTAAACAAAGTACATTTTCCAAGTTAGATTAGAAGACATTACGGTTCTTTAGGCAAGTATTCAAATTTATGAGTTTTCGCAATTACATAACAATTTGTTCTCACTTCTTCATAAAGATTTCTTACGTGTTCATCTTGATCGACTTCCATGTCATATAAGTCATTTTTTGTTTGTTCGCAAAATATTTTAACCAATTCGTAGCTCAATTTTTTTTTATCAAGGTTATACAAGAAGTGTATTAAATACTGAATCAAGCATCGCTTAATTCTAACAAATTTTGTGAACCTTTCATCTGTTTCCTGATTTTCTACTGCAGCTAGTAACGAGTTTTGAATCTCAAACTCACTCCTGTCATCTCTAATGTAATTCACTTTCACTTCCTTAACGTCATTGGACAATATTTCCTCAGCTTTAGCTGTTAGTATCCCGTTGGAATCAATGCTAAGGGTAAAAGTTACACGTCGTTGCCCGGGAGGTGCCGGTATTAAGCCACCAATTGACAATTTCCCTAAGTAGCGATTTTTTCTTACATCTGTACGCTCACCTTCATAACGGGTGTACAATAAAAAATATATTTGCAGTAGGCGCTGGAACGAAAACTTCACAATTGTGGTAACAGGGCAAATAATATCGAAGCGTAAGTAGGCAACCAAATATACTTCAGAGCATGGATGGGTACATCACTACCATCTTAAATACAGAGATTTCTTAGTAACCTAGATACGGCTATGGGCAGCAAAGTGTGGAACAACATGTATGAAAATAGTGTCGACATATTTTCAGTTCTCTGTCTTTCTCTTACTCGTTGTAATGTGCACTACATACTAGTGTTATCTTCGTCTAATTCTAGCGACTGTTAACATTGGTTGATAATTTGGCGCACTGATTTAAAATGGTATAAATGAGAATCATAACTAGAGTTTTTTAACAAGTGGCAAACGGAAAGTTTCTAAGCAATCTCCAAAATGATTTGTAATGTTTAAGATTACAATATTACACGGACAAGATCGTTGGAATAAATTTGACTGTCGACTTCCCTTTTTTGGTACTTTTTCTTTATCATTCACACCGGCGAAACTCTTGAAAAATGACATAATACAATTTTCTTATAGTCAAAAGTTTTTGTTGTCACGAACGTTTCTAACATAAATAGAGAATCGTATTGTATTTATTTGCATGCACAATGTTGAGAGCTTAAAACGAAAAAGAAAAAAGACGTACAGCTGTGGTATAAATTTATTAACATTATTATTAAATATTGGTGATTTAATGTAATCTTAGTTACTCATTATTAAATAAAATGTATTTTACTAATTTACTTCTTATTTTCGCCTGTTTTGAAGCAAAATTTACCAGTTTTGTTTCGTGTTGCAAGCGGACTTTTAAATTAATAATTTTAAATTTGCGCTATTGCCTTCATCAGTTGTATTTTGTGATTATCTAGTAATCACTGATTGTTCATGTCGGGATTATTAAAAATCTTTGTAATATTTTTGCGAAACAAAAGAATTATTAGATCTTTCTTTGCATACAACACACACTCTGTAACCCATTTTTAGAAATTCTATGCAATTTAAACTTATAACCGTGATATAAATCTTATAACCTAAGAAATCTCTTAGAACAAACTAACAAACACCGGGGATTGTATGAATTAAGAACCGACTTGCGCTAGCAGAATTTAAGGGTTTACTGCGCAAAATCGTAAATTGCTAGGTTTAAACAAAGACCTACAAAATCATACTCCTGCGTTCCCATGCTGTAAAAGAAGATGGAAAGCAAAACGCATAGTGTACATGTTGGCCAAGAACGTATGTTCACTTTTGCATAGGATCACCGTATCTAGGTTACTAAGAAATCTCTGCTTAAATACAAAAAAAGTGACATTTGACGGATTTTGACGTTCTGGATTTCCTAACCCTAACGTTCGTATCGCCTTTTTGCAGTTTAGTTGTTATTTCATCTTTTGTTTTGTTTGTGTGATAAAAATCAGTTCTTTTCAGAACTAGCGTGTGAGTTTTGCGTTTAAAGTCATTTTTTAACAAGAATGGCTTTTTCTGAACGACACAAAATATTCATGGTAATGTCGTACTACCGAAACGGTGTAAAAGAAAATGGAACTTGGCAATATTCAATTGGATTATGTATGGAAGAGTTTCGAGAAGAATTCCCTGATTTTGCCGTAGAGTATACGCAGTTTCGACAAACTTTAAATGTCTCGTTAAAAAATTTTCAAGAAAATGGATCTGTGACACGAAAACCTGGAAGTGGCCGTCCAAAAAAACGAACTCCAGAACTAATTGAAGAAGCGAGAGAAGTAATGGAAGAAACCCCGGGTACTTCTATCCGTCATTTATCACAACAACTTGGTTTGTCTGTTGGCACCTGTAACACTCTTCTAAAAAAGGATCTTCATTTGTTTCCTTATTGTCTCACATCTGTACATGAATTAGATCCAACAGACTTTCCTCAAAGAGTTCAATACTGTGAATGGTTTCTGAATACTCTGGATATGGGCGACCACCTTGAAAAAACGTTTTTCACCGATGAAGCATACTTTCATCTTAGTGGCTATGTAAACTCACAAAACACAAGAATGTGGACTTCAGAAAATCCACACTTTTTCATTGAGTCGCCCCAATATCCCCAGAAAGTTGGTGTTTGGGCTGCAATTAGCCAACGCAGAATAATTGGTCCAATTTTTTTTGACGGTAAAGAGGTTTTTAGTATTTTAACAACAAAATAATGATATTTTCATTTCAGGAAAGATAAATGCTGCAAGATACCGTGACGAAATTTTAAGTGTATTCTTAAATCAGCTGGATGATGAAGAATTAGTGTATGGTTACTTTCAGCAGGACGGTGCCACTGCTCATACAACTGGAGCTACAATAGGTTTTTTGTCTGAATATTATGAAAATAGGATTATTAGTCGCAATACACCAAATAACTGGCCGCCTAGATCATGTGATCTCACTCCTTGTGACTTCTTCTTGTGGCCACATATAAAAAATTCAATTTATACAACACCCATAAATGACTTGGAAGAATTACGGAATAGGATAACACACAAAATTAATGATATTAATAATAGTGCAAGTGTTTTAGAAAATGTGGCAA